CACGCGAAGAACAGACGTGGTTTGAAGGCAGGTTTTGTCTGAACGCCACTGCACACGAGCCGGTAGCCCCGTCCGGGCTCCTTTCCCCCCGGAGGTACCGTACAGCGTATATACGGTCACTCGACATACAGTCACTGCGTATTCACCCCCGCAGCTCACTGGACCAGCGAGATGCTCTGGTGAGCCACAGCGAAGACGGGATAGAGGGGCTTGGCGAAGCTCTCCCTGTGGGAGAAGAGGATGGCGCAGGAATCGGGGTCGTAGAAGAGCACCTCCCCTCCCGCAAAGTCAACCAGCACCCCGATCTCGGCCGGAGACTTGATCAGCTCCACCGCCTGCGGCTGCCCGGCGTGCAGGAACCGGAACTCCTTGTCATAGCGCGAGAAGACCCAGGAGTCGGCGTTGAAGCCCAGGCGGACTTCGTTGCCAGGGCCCTTCCGCGGCAGGGAGCTGTAGCAAACCCCCAGCTTGTAGGCGCAGCTCTTCCCCACGCTGATCCTCCAGGCGCAGACTCCCGAGTGGAAAGCCGTGGCAGCCAACGCGTTGGGCCAGTGGTCAAACTGCTCGGGGCAGTCCAAGTCCACCTTTGCTTTCTTGGGTCTGAAGGTCAGGGTTTTCCGGTCTTCTGACAGGCTGAGGTGGGGGCTGACAGTCTTCTCATCGATGTGAATCTGCTGAGAGCCTGCAAGAGAAGCCACACGGTGAGCGCCAGCCCTGCCTGAACTGCCCGAAGAAGTCAGAGACACGACCCATTCCCCTGGGGTGACACACGGTGACCAGCACCGCAGCTCCCCGCAGCCTCCCCTCTCCAGCCGAGACTCATCAAAGCCCAGGTTTCACCACACACCTCTCCACCCTTGCACTGGAAGTCCTGTGGAGGCAGAGAAGATGCTGCTCGTCTTACTCCGACCCTGGCCCAAATCCCCACAAACCAGAACTGGGCAGGTTCAGCTCATCCCGCTTTTGGGAGAGACCCAAACCCGAGCCCCGTCCCTTCCCAGCCCCGCTGTGGGTGAGTGGGGCCCGACCTCGCTTCCCAGCATCGGGACCAGCCCAGGAAAACCTGCAAGGCCGGTAATACCGGAACGAGGAGGAACGGAGAGGGCTGGGGAGGGGAAATCCCTTTCCTCCTGCGACACCCAAGTCAGGCATCAGCCCACCCTGGGTCTGGAGCAGCGCGGGAGGTGGCACCGGCCATCGGAGATGCGGACGACCGCAACTCGGTTTGGTTTTGCTGTGAATTAAGGGGCTGCCCAGCTGCCCTTGTGCCTCCTCTTCTCCAGCCTGAACAGCTCCTTCAGCCACTCCTCAGCAGACTTGTTCTCCAGACCCTTCACCAGCTTCGTTACTGCTCTGTAAATTCGCTAAACAAAGATACAAGGCTGATGCCCGGCTGACTCACCCACTCCCCGGGGAGACCGAGCGGGCGCACCTGCAGGTGCCCCTCCTTGCCCTGCCTTCCCCCACCCTCACTTCATCCTTTTCAGGTCTTAAGCCACCACGAAGCAAGGCTGGAGCTGCTGAGTCATTCGCTCTCCCAGCAAGAGCTTCACCGTGCCACGCCTGCTCCGGCCATTCCCTGCCACCCTCTGCTCGGCACCCAGCCCGTGGCAGGGTGAGGCCCTTCAAGGATCAAACCATTACGCTCCAGCCTGAACGGGGTCATCCCAGCGTCCAACCGACTCCAGGACCCGCGCGGATCAGGGCCAGCACCCCTCTGACCAGCACCGAAGAGCCACAGCCAAGGGGCTTCCTAGGGCTGCGCCTGCCCTGGTGCTCCCTGCCCGGGGCTCGGTTCTCAGTCAGCACGGCGTGGCAGTGCCACGCACGCTGGCACGTTAGGTGGGAGCCACTGCGGGCGACGGCGAGCAGAAGGAGGAGCTGAAGGCAGCGTCTCCTTCCAGCCGAAGCAGACACCCTCGTTCGTTCGGTGATTTGTCTCACCGAGCGGCAGCCAAAGGCTTTGCAGCGTGCCTGCCCACCACGCCGTGCCCTCCGTAGGTCTCCACAGCTGTATCTGCCCACGCTGCCTATTTCTAGGTTGACTTTCCAGGAAGCCCAGCACTGCCATGAATTCATAGAAAACGGAGCAGCACGAGACTATCTTCCTCTGACAGAAGGTCACTAAACCTCACAATGTGCAACACATGAGGAAGAACTTCACTCTGAGGGTGACGGAGCCCTGGCCCAGGCTGCCCAGGGAGGCTGTGGAGTCTCCTTCTCTGGAGATATTCACGCCCCGGCTGACGCGGTGCTGTGCAGCCTGCTCTGGGTGACCCTGCTTGGGCAGGGGGCTGGGTGGGGGATCCCCAGAGGGCCCTGCCAACCCCAAACATTCCGTGATTCTGTGAGAACACCCTCTACCCTAGGTACGGGGTTGCATTCTGGTGTTCGTGTGCTGGGATCACCTGCACGAGGAAACACCACCCCGACGACACCCGCGTAGCTTCGTTGTGGAACTCCGATTCCAGGGGAGCATCTGAGGGAGGGGAAGTGCTGGTAGAGCAACAGCAGAGTAACTCATCAGCAAATTTTCCCACCCAGGTGAGTATTTTGTTCTGATTAAATCTGCCCTCCAGATATTCCCATATATCCTGATGGACAGTTCCACTGGGAATTCATCTTACCCCAAAATCTGTGTTCTCTGTGTGTGGTGGCCATCAGAGTAGCCTTGCCACTTTAGAAAGACGAGGGATGCAGAGCAGGTGAGCTAACATGGTTAACATCTCTGCCAAGTATGTATCTGTTCGCTGCAGCACGTTTTACTGGTTTTAAAAATCCAGATTCCCATTTCCAAAGTTATTTGGGAAGGGGGCTCAGCCAGAGCCAGGGCAGCAGCTGGGACCACGCTGGTCGCCTTGGAGCGCGCTCCTCCTCCTTCCCGGTGCGAAAGGGAGACCAACGTACCTTTCCCAGGAGAGGCTGGCCGGTGGGAAGATCACCTGGGTGATCTTCTGTCCCACCCCTTGGCCTGCTCATCCTGGGTGCTGGTGGCCAGGCAGGCAGGGAGGGAGCTGCCAGGAGCAGTGAGAGGGGAGGCGCAGGAGCTGGGGTTGCCCCAAAGGGGGGGTTCAGGGTTTTCCCCCCTGCCAAAGCAGCGTCACCTACAGCAGGCTGCACACATATGAAGTGAAAATCCTCGTAGGTGGGATCCAGACCCCGGCTGGTCCCTGGGGCAGAAGGTGACCATGCGGTAGCCCAAGGTCCCTGGGACGGCTTCGGTCTGTGTCACCCCTTCCGTGGGTCACAGAATCACAGAATCACAGAATGTTCAGGGTTGGCAGGGACCTCTG